AACCGCAAAGCAATGGCATACGCAGACAACTACAGTGGATACTGTAACATTTGTTAAAGTTAATTACTTGACGATGTTGTGTCCTAAAATGCCTTGAAGACTCGAATGCAGCCGTTTGTGATTGTTAATTCGCGCCCGCGAGCATACGCGTGTGAAGTGCAGACGCAGCTGCGGGAGAGGTGCATCTGACTCCGCGCTACTTTTACACTGTTGCCACGGGTTATAATGCAAGTTAGCGGTTCTAAATTCACATTAAACCACAGCTTCCTGGGTTTTTTGCTCTGATTTATTTTTGGTTTTGTGCTGACATTGGAATATTTTGCATGCTAGTGATTGGAATCGATCCCTTGACGTGATTGGCTATTGGTTTGTGACGTAGCAAACCAAGGGCTGTTTCAAACCATATTTCTGGGTCAGCCTTTGGGAAACTACAGTTTTAAGAAGAAAATACACAGCAATGGTGTTGATTAATAGATTGGCACATGGTTTGTCTAAAAGCATATTAAAAAGACCACATAGACAAATACACAACATAAAAAACTTGATTTTCACTGCAGGAGGTCTTTAAGAATGAATAATTTCGTAATTATATAATTAGACTAATAATTAGAATAATTAAAGATTGCTAACATCTAATAACTGTCTTCGTAATTGCTCTTTACCTTAAAGACATAGAATGTTTTAACATGTCTGTACAGATTCAAACAGTGCTTTTATTTAAGAATCATGTATAAAATCATTTTTTGAGTTCTTCTCTTTGTATTGCACTGCAAGTTGCATTATCTTTATGTTGATACATGTTGTTCTCGCATTTCTCAAATATGACCACGCTGCTGATTTTTATCACTGTTCTTTTACTGACTCCAGCATAGAATAACTACAGCTTAGAAGATTAATACCCTAAAGCACTAAAACTCAAGGATTCATTATGTTATAAAAGCTCCTTCTCTTGTGAATGCCAAGAGGATATTTATTCTGTTCTCTTCTCTCGTGATGAAACATTAAAAACAGAGCGGTTTTTACTTCACAGTTTCCATTGTGTTCAGAAATGTCAGTAATGTTATGAATCACAATGATGACAAATCAAGCTTGTTCATGTGAATGAATTGCACTTGTATATTTATCTATTTATACGCATGAGTATATGAGAATATAAAGGTACAGGGATCTTGTCTCACATGTACTATGTATCTCTCTTAGACTCTCTAACAAGATTAATAATTAACTTTGGGCTCAATTTTATCCCGTTATCCTAAATATGGCCATGGAACTTTAATCAGACGTCAAGAGAAAGATGGCAGCCAAAAAAAAAAAGACATTGTGAAATCCAGTGCACTGAGGTTAAATCCTTACACCTGACACATGCCATTTAATCATTGAGCAAGACAGTCAATCCGCACTGCACTGAGACGCAAGTTGTCACAGGTAAAAATATAAAATGTACATATTTTAAATTCTTCTGTGTTTTTTTAATATGTGATCTTGTGTATTGTTAAGTTCAGAATTTTAAACAGGTACCAAATCTGATAATCTAATCATGTTACATTGTACTGATATACAGACGGATTTTGGTGATTGCTGAATGTTAACCACTCACTCTTTCAAACTGAATGCTAGATTGAAAAAGTCAGTCATTCACGTTGTTAAAACACTGTGTATCTTGAGGGCTGATGTTGAAACATCTCCTTGCTAATTAGTTGCATATTCTTTTCTTTTTTGTCATTAAAACACAAATGTAATTACTTTAATGCCTAGAATTGTTTCTTGTCAAAGACCCCTTGAGGATAAATATAGACAGCAATCAATGTTGTGTTTTGGTTTTGTCAGCTGAAGTGCAACTCATAATTTCTTTCTAAGTAAATGTTTTGATGTTCAATTCAAATTCATATTTTGTTTGCTTAATGTGATTTAAGATTTTAACACCGCACCTTGAACGCTCTTATCTTCTGAACATTAGATTGTTGTCACAGTCCACAAAAGTACTCGGGTTAAGGTTTTTTTTTTGGTATACATAATTATCTAATTATTCTCTGATAATCTTGCCCTTATACCGAAACTCTGTGGGCCGTGTGCAGATTCAAAAATATTTATGACTTTATTGAGTTTATGACATAATTGATTGCAATCAGCAAGCATTAGTCATTGATAATCACTAAAATTACGCCTATGGAAAATAGAAAACTATGCAGCGTTGAGAAAACATTTCAATTTTGGGTGAACTAGCCTATTCCTTGATGGGAATCCTGATAGGAATACTTGAAGCACATACATCAAAAAGAACAAAATGCAATGTGACTATGAAAACACATTATGTGGAGTACATTTTTTAAGTTTGAAACGGTGGTGTCAAGCATTTTTGGTGTTTTTTTTCCTCCTTTTTGCGTAAAAATTCTACTTGAGTTCACTGAAATCTAATAACACACTGCTAAAATTTGAATTTCTTTCTTAGTATTTTTGTCTTGTTTTCCATTACAAATATCTCAAAATTGTTCAATCAAGATATATTTACTTTACTTGTCTAAAAATGAGTCAAAAATCAAAAAATGTGTTTATGATTAAAACAAGAAAAAATGTAAATGGGTTAAAGGCACAATATGTAAGATGTTTTTATTAAAATATCCAAAAACCACTAGAACAGTGTTATATATTTTGCTGACTTGTGTACTTACATTATCCCAAATGTTTCGAAGAATGTTCAGAGAAATAAGCCATTTTAACTAGTGACATGGAGCGTGTCCATAGTGTCATTGTGTCGCCTGCCAATGATGTCATAACCCCACGATTTCCGGTTTTGTTTTGTAGAAAACATGGAAACACCAAAGACGCTTTAATATGTTGTGCGTTTTAATAGACCGGTGACGACCGCACAGAGTAGCATTATAACAGAACTTTCAAATGTATCTAGTATGATAAAACAGCGCTGCTTTTTTCCCCATACACACGACCGGGAAGGAGCGGAAGTGCTAAAGTGTGGCATAATAAAAGCTCCGCTGCTTT